GGAGGTGGGGACCCCCCTACTTGCGTCCCCTCCGCACACCCTGTGTGCAGGGTCCCCTGTCTGCTCGCTGCCCCCCAGCCACCACTCAGGAGCGGGGCTCTGCTTTATAATGGTCATTATCAACACACACAGCATTTTCTGGTGATCTTAATGCTGGGGGGTGTGTGGCCCGGGTGCAGCGGGACTGCTGGCATCCCCCAGAATGCCAGCAAAGGTACTTAGGAGTTTCCTGACCACGGAAAGCAGCATCTCCCCTGCCTGCCTGGCTCCCTCCAATACTGACAGCACTTGGCATGGACCTGCCACTCTTCTGGAGCGGCCCTTTTATTCCCTGGATGGCAAGCACCAAGTCCTGGCTCTCTGAGGCAAGAGCAGGGTGCCAGAATGGCCTCAAAGGATGTGCTTCACTTGCCATCCTTCAAAATAGGTCTTGTCATACCCGTGATGCTTCCCACCAGCTGAGGAGTCACCCTTGCTTCTTCACAAAACTAATTCAGAGGCTCCACTTGTGACATACGTCAAGATAGTAATTTGGCTTTGAAGGCCTTGCTTAGATAGCTTGCTCATGTAAAACTGAGCTAGGAGGGAAAACAGCATGTGTTACAGAGTCTGAAAGATACCCAGGGTAAAAATTGTGCAGAATAATTCTGCTTTTATAGGAAAACAACAGCCATAGTGAGTGGAGTACAGCTACAGCTGTGTAAGCATCGTGCATAGCCCTCAGAAGCAGTCTGAGGGTGAACTGGTGACAGGGCAGTTTCTGGTGTCTAAGTAGTGCTGATCACCTGTGTTTCTAGGATACCACACCAGATGAACTGCTGTCTGCTGTTATGACAGCTGTCCTTCAAGATGTCAATCTTCGTCCTGAGGTGCTGGGAGACATCTGTGTTGGTGAGTGAACAACTCGCGTCCGGACTTTAAACTCCTGGTGTGGATATCCCTATGGGCTGGACTGCTCCTGCTGTCCCCTGGGATACTTGCAAGTATTTGGGGTCGGAAGGGATTGGTGTGTAGCATTAGGAAATCAAGGCGTCCTTCACGACTTCTGTCAGGTGGTGGGGCTCTGATCTGGGTGCCAGATGGTACCAAGCCATGGCGCTGTTAATGTCCCTTCAGTGCCCGAGGGAAATGCAACTGGTTGACTGGAATCGTATCTTTGCACCCAGGAAACGTGCTGCAGCCTGGAGCTGGTGCTTTGATTGCAAGAGTTGCACAGTTTCTCAGGTAAAATCTCAACCAGATCAAGGTTCCTCCTCCCCTTCTTGGGCCTTGGCCATGGAGCAGCACTGGGGCAGAGGTTGCAACAAGGCTCATGTGATCCTATGGCAAATCACCTTTTGCCTCAAAATTAGGCTTTGATTGAGCGTTTGGAGAGCCCTGCTGTTGAAGGGACAAGAAGGCAGAGGTGAGGCCAATCTGTGCCACTTGTTTGGAGCCCTCTGAATGGGAGATCTTGTTTTGTGGGCTGTACCTGCTGCCTCTCCCTGTGCTCTGCGTGGTCCCAAAGCCATAGAGTTGTCTCAGGTCTTTCTGTTCATTTCCTGGTGCTGGTGGTTGATGGCTCCTATTGAGCTGGATCCCAGCTTCCAAATATTTCAGCCAGTGTCCATTGCTAAGTGACGTTTGCTTCTGTAAATGCGTGTACATGCACCACTTTGGAGAGGTGTCTGCACCTCTCCAGTAATTGTGAATATTGCAGAGCTGTTCAGTATTTCTGACCCTGATCAGAGCTTGGGAGCTGGGCATGTACTCTTCTGAAGACAGAGCTGTGGGGAAACAGCACTTGGAGCCGCTTGCAAATCCATTTGGAAATTATCTGTGGACTTTGCTTTCTCTTGGCACAGGACCAAATAGGTCAATGAACGTATAGAGGGATCTGTCTGGAGCTTGAGGGTTAACGTTTAATCAGGTGGCTTAATTCAGGGGTTTGGTTTGTTGCGTGGTTTTTGTCACCGAGTCTTTGCCAACGCTGTGGTATTTTTGTAGTGGTATTCCAGAGACGGTGCCGTGCTGCAGCGTGAACCGGCAGTGCTCCTCGGGGCTGCAGGCCATTATCAATATAGCTGGTAAGCGTTACGGGTGCTTGGGGCGGAGTCGATGCCTGCCGCACCCCAAGTGCTCATTTCTCCTGTCCTCCCATCTCTCCAGTCAGTAAAACCAGTGGTAACGTCTTCTGCAGTCAGGAGTTTTCAGTTTGTTGTCAGTTGAATACCTTTATATCTTGAGTGGCTGAGTACCCCTTCAGAAGTACTGTGGGTTTCTGAGGTTAAGGAGGGTGGAGGGAATGCCCTTTTTGGCTGTAGTGGGTCCCTCGGGTGTTCGTGAAAGCACAGCTGGAATGGAAATGCCTTTGCTTCCCATAGTAAGGATGTTTGTGCACTGCTCTTACAGGTGGCATCCGCAATGGATCGTATGACATTGGCTTGGCCTGTGGGTAAGAATGTCTTTTTATGGCACTTGCAGCTCTTGTGTGAGGAATTAGAAATCCCTTCCAATGAGATAGGACATAGATGCTGTCCTCGTTTGACAAATGGGTGAATAAGCCCTAAAGTTAGGACCTGGATTTAAGCGGTGGCTGCAGATGCAGTTTGTGTATTTCCAGAGGCTGCTGAGTAGATTGGGTCATCTGAAAGGATCTGAAGGAGGGTGCTTGAAAATCCTTTAATTCCCCTGGGAGTTCTGGTCTTGGTGCCACGTCTGCTGGGGTGGCAATGAGAGGTTGTGTATCTCTTACAAGCATGCAAAACGCCTCTTTTTAGGATCCTCTGGCCCTGCTGTGGGGTACCACTTGTGTGCAGAGCAATTACAGCCTGAAAGAGCCCGCCATCATTAGCTTTTTAACTAATCTCCAGTTAATTTGTGTCTTGGAAGACCAGCAGTTGTCTTGGATAAAGAAATTAATGTCCTACTCCTGCTAAGAACTGTTCTGCAGACTCACAGGAGATGTTCTGCACTGGACACGCAGGCTGTTCTTTGCTTCAGTCCTAACATCATAAGAAGTGTTTATTTTGTAAAGGTTTATGTAAATGCTAGGTTGGCTTTGGAGAAATACTACTGGCCACATACACGCTCACTTCAGAACGACTCAAAAAGAAAGCATTCAGTCATCCTGAGGCTAAAATACTGGGTTTCTCTTTACCTTGGTAACTCTACATCTTTCTTGAGTTATTGCTGTACACAGTCACCCAGTAGCCCCTAGGAAAATATTTATGTTTACAACCTCTCAACACCTGCATGTACCTGGTTGAGCAAGATCTGATGCTGAGAACACCCTTCTTGGGCTGTTGCTAAATCAGCAGCTCAGTAAGATGGGCACGTTCCTCTGAGGTGTTCCCAGGAGCATTGCTGCTTGAACACGGGATGCTTTTCACTCCGTCATTTTAATGCGGTTGTTTGGAGACGTTGCTTGGCAGCATCCACCAAAATGATACACTTAAAGGTACCGAAAGGCTCAAAGAGTTTGGGATCCAGCCCTTGTGCCTTTGGGCATTCAAGCCACCACGTTTCACTATGGGCAGTTTTCTGGCCTCTACGCTGCAGGGTCCTTCGTGAAGATGTAAAAGCCATACATTACAGATGGCATTTGTGAGTGGGGTTTGACCCAGGTCATGCTTTTCCTGAGAGGACTTGCCCACTCTGTAGCTTGGGAGATGCAGGATAACAGCACAAAATGGCATAGGTGCAATTTGCTTGTACTTAAAAAATCCTGTACCTTCCTGCAGGGAGTAGATAGTGCATTACTTGACTTCAGCTGCATCCCAGGTTACAGTTAGTTTAAATTCCTGACAGCACTTCAAATAAGCTGTTTGGGAAAAGCCTTGTTTTCTGCTTGCCATTTTTCAGGACTAGTTTCCTTGTTACTTACTCTTCATGAGTGCATTTGTGTGGTGCAGAGTCAGATTCAAACCCTTCTCCCATCGTAGGCTTTGTGGTCTCGACCCGACTCCACAGAAGCTCCCTGGTCAGAAGTGATGGCTGTGTATTTATGCAGTAAATTTGGGTGTCTTCAATCTGTTAACTCATTCGTAGGTCAAAGGCTGCAGCCTCTGGGATTCATATCTGAAATTCTTTGTGTTGTGAAATACAAATGGCGTAATTTGCTGAAGTCTTTGCCGTGGTTTGCTTAATACTGCAGTTAATTACTGCCAGCTCCTGAGCTGTAAGTGCCATTTTTATGGCTGGTGACAATCTCGCTGCAAACTCCAGTCCTAGAACCTTAAGTTTCTCATTCTGTTTGAGGACAAAAGTGCCAGAATCATAAGCAATTCCTTCCTACCTGCAGAAACATGTGAAATTATTTAACTGTTGACATTGGTATCCGTTTGAAGTGAAACAAGGACCAATTTAATCTTGCAATCTGTTTTGATTGTTGTGGTAATTCTTACATTGATGACTGAAGAGCTGCTGCCTCAGTCAGTTCTTAACTATTAGCTGTGTTTCTATAGGATAATAGGAAAGCATGTTGTCAAAATACTGAGTTTTGATCAGTCTTAATTGGGCAATTACCACAAATACAGTGGTATTTGACACTGGTAGCAAATTGAATTTTTTCTTGTGTTTAGTGTGGAAACGATGTCCCTCAGAAGTGCAAATAATCCTGGTGATATCAGTTCCAGCATGATGGAAAACAGCAAAGCTCGAGATTGCCTTATTCCGATGGGGTAAGTGTTTCCTCTTCCCAAAATGTAAGGGTTTTGTGTCTCCTCAGTGACCGCACTGTTTCAAACCAATGTGAATGCAGTGAGCCTGGATCTGCATGTGTTGACATCCTCCTTGGTTGTGGGAGGAGATGAATTATGTGAATTGGGGCAAAAATCAGCAACCCTGAGGAAAGATTTCCATGTCTCACATTTTAAGCTTCATGGCTCGATGAGCAAAAACTTGAGGGTGGGTTTGAACCTGGTTTTGGTTCTGGATTCGATTCAGGATCTGCTTCTGCTGAGCAGTTCTAGGCTCAGAAGGCAGCATTTTGCTTTGAGACTAAAGATGGTGCTTGTACCTTGTGCTGTCTTGGTGGAAGCCAATTACAGCTCCATTAGCTGCATCCTTGGATTAACTCTATGATTGTTTTGTTTTCCCCAGAATAACCTCAGAAAATGTGGCAGAGAAGTTTGGAGTTTCCCGGAAGAAGCAAGATGCCTTTGCCTTGGCTTCCCAACAAAAGTAAATGCTTTCTGGTTTTTTAAAACCTTTTAGTTAAGGAATAAACACAGATAGAAAGTGCACTGCTACTTCCCAGTAGTTGTTAAGTGCAGCCTTCGTGTTGCCTTCCAAACCTTAATAGCAAGTAAAGAAGCTCGAGGTGATCACAGCAAAGACTGGTGTCCTGGCTGTGTGATAAGGGAACCTGAGTTCACAGCTGTCCTGGGGGTTGTGTGACTGATCTTCAGGGCCCGTGTGTTTTTCAGCCTCCAAAGGATGCACCCTCCATGAGGTTTCCAAAACGAATGTGTGGTTCAGTATTTCATAGTGGCTTTGGCTCAGTGTCATTTGAACCTGGCCATGGGAGTGGCAGCAGAAGGAGCTTTTCTTGAGAGGGAATATTTAAATGCCGCTATTTCTGGCGAGTTGCCGAGCTTGTGAGCAGGATGGTGCGTCTTTGCCGCAGGTGTTTGGCTTCAAGCGAGTCTGATCCCATCTCTGATAACCTTGCTTTTACATGAAATCACTGCCAAAGTAAACTGACCCCTGGAATCCATGGGGCTGCACTGACAGCCCAGTGTTGGGCAATGCGTTCAGATTGCTGCTGTCAAAGAGTTAAACTGAATTTCAGAGCTCTGTTTCAGCATCGCCCCGGTCCAGTTATTTATCTAATACAGGAAGCCACTGCACAGGCCCGTTAACCTTTAAATTCTGGCCCTGCTTCGAGGGAACCGGGCATGCCAGCCTTTCTCACTGACATTGAACTGATAACACACAGGGGTATGTGAACGCGATCCTCGCCTCTCGCATGAGGAAAGGGGTGATTTTCTGGCCTCAGTCTCAGGATGTCTGCGGAGTTGCTGATCTGTCCTTCAGCACTTTGCTCGTACTCTCTCTTACCTGGGAGTATTAAATATTTTCATTTTATTAGTAGAAGTCTAAAGTGGTGAGGGGGTAAAACAAGCTTTCAGTCTCCAATTTGTATTCCCTTTAAAGTGTGCTCTGCTGCTGGAAGGTAAATCTGTATCAGCTCTGCTGTGGAGGCTTTTAAATACTTTGTTGATACAAAAGATTAAAACTGAGTGTCCTGAGCTAATTCTAATTTAACTAGTTGCATTCTGCCTACTTTTGTTCCCTGCTGTTAATGCGGTTGTCTCAGGGACCAGACCTTCACTGCACCTTTACTGCTAAATTAGGCGATACCCTTCTACGTAGTCACACTGAATTACGCAGCATAAATTGCAATCATTTTGTGTTGAAAGGTAACATTTAGATGCTGGAAGATCATACCTGAAGTCTGTGGGCTAAAATTCACCTTGTCTGTAGTAGGACAAAACTAGGAACAGGTGAAACATCAGCTGTTCCTTAACTTGTCAGAAATTATTAGCAGTATGTGGAGGCTTAGCCCACTTGCCCTGTTTAAACTCAAAAATCAGAATTTATATTTGAACAGGGATCTTGCCCAGAAGCGTGTGATCCTGTGACCCATTTCTGGGGAGAACCCCCTTAATGTTAGTGATATATTTCCTGTGATGCAGAGGTAAGAAGTTTGTCTTCCCATGAATGGAAATAAGTATTAGTCTGTGTCTTCAGCAATGATGTACCTGTGTACCGAGTCACACCTCAGCCCATTCTCTCTCTTGCAGTTCACCTCCAGAATGCTTTAACTTTTCATCTTCTTCTTTAACAGAGCAGCGAAAGCTCAGCAGATGGGGCTGTTCAAAACTGAGATTGTTCCAGTGAAGACCACTGTTTTAGATAATCAGGGCAACCAAAAAACAGTCACCGTGCACCAAGATGAAGGGATCAGGCCCTCCACGACCCTGGAAGGTTTGGCAAAGCTGAAGCCTGCCTTCAAGGAGGATGGCAGCACCACAGCAGGTCAGCTCTGTTGTTCAATTCGCATTGTTCCTGTAGTTTACCTTGTAGTAGGATGTGCTTGGGTAAAAAAGGTGTTAATGGATCTCTCCCAACAGGTAACGCCAGCCAGGTCAGCGATGGAGCAGCTGCTGTTCTCCTGGCAAAGCGCTCGAAAGCAGCACAACTGGGGCTCCCCGTCCTGGGGGTGCTCCGCTCCTTCGCGGTGGTTGGGGTCCCACCCGATGTCATGGGCATAGGCCCAGCCTACGCCATCCCTGTAGCTGTGGAGAGGGCAGGTAAGGACCATTTGTCGTCCATACAGCGTTTGGCACAAGGCAAATCGGAGTCTGTGGCCTGAAATTTGTGTTATTCTAGTATGTGTGGCTCTATCAGCCATAGGAACAGTGAACTTAAATCTAAAACCTGGAAAGAGATCCCAGCTGGGATGATTGCAAGACTCACTTGTACTCGTGTGTAAATTGCCATTCACTCGCCTTTGAGAAGCTCAGGATTAAATCCCTGCACAGTCTCAACAAACGGTTACCACACGGCAAGTAATTTAGTGTTCATTTAGTGCTGTTTTCCTTCATATGAGCAGCCCATGAGAACGGTGGTTTTGTGGTTTGGTTTGTTTCTTTTCTTTACAATCTTGGCATCTGACCAGTGGAAGAGGCTTTCCTCAGAGTTCTTACCACACTCGTTAGGTTAAGTAGCTTTTATAGCTGACAGTTATTGTTCTGTCCACCTGTCATTGCTATGGTCAACTGCTCACGTCTAGTTTTATCTTTCATTCTTGAAATATCTTTCCATCTTTAATCCCTCTGCAAAAAAAAATCACATTTAATCTAAGGAAACTTGCTTGCTATGGTCAACTGCTCACCTCTAGTTTTATCTTTCATTCTTGAAATATCCTTCCGTCTTTAATCCCTCTGCAAAAAAAATCACATTTAATCTAAGGAAACTTGGCAAACTCAGTGACACGGGTCCATGAACTGTGTGATGTTTTGCAGCCTTTAGACACTGTCGTATGTGAACACACATACAAGTACAGATGCCCCACATGGAGCCAAGGTCCCCCTCTTTTTCATTAGTGGAGTAGAATTGAGAATTCATAAAGGGAAGCTGTGAGTGAATTATTCTGTTTGATGTAGTCCTAAGGCAAAAATATCTTCTTTTAAATACTGCCTGTTCTGCACCATAGGTCTGACTCTGAATGACATTGATATATATGAAATTAATGAAGCCTTTGCAAGCCAGGTGAGTGATCATCCTGCTTGAGCTGCTACACTGCTTGGCAGCTGAGTATATTTTCAGCTTGATCTCCAAATTAGGATTTGAACTTGTTCCATGTATTGCATCTTCAGCCAAATGTTAATAACATGTGCAGGCTGTTTTCCCTTTCTTTCACATAAAAATAAGCAGAGCTTTGCTTATACAGCTTAATATTTAAAAAAATATAAATCACAAAGAAACCCCGGTCTTTTCTGTGATCCTCTTGGCTCTCTTGGCCTCACTGAAGGAGAGCTGAGAGCTAAGAGAGACAAGAGCATCTCCACAAAGGCATTCCCTCTGTCTCTGCAGGCTGTGTACTGCGTTGAAAAGCTGGGCATTCCCATGGAGAAGGTCAACCCCCTGGGAGGAGCAATAGCTCTGGGACACCCGCTGGGCTGTACTGGTGCTCGTCAGGTTGTCACTTTGCTCAATGAATTGAAGCGCAGAGGGAAGAGGTGAGCACTGAGGAATGGTGTTGGCCTTAATGCCTTTTGTGTCAGTCAGTCACTGAGGCTCAGAAGAAACCATCAGCTGGCCTAGAGAGGACAAGTAACTGATGATTAACCTTCTAGTACCTGAACGGTGCCTGTAAGAAATCTGGGGGAGAGCTGTTCACTAGGACATGTAGTGATAGGATGAGAGGTAATGGGTTTAAATTAGAAAAGAGTGGATTTAGGTTGAATATTAGGAAGAAGTTCTTCACCATGAGGGTGGTAGATCACTGGCACAGGTTGCCCAGAGAGGTGGTGCAGGCCCCATCCCTGGAGATATTCAAGGCCAGGCTTGATGGGGCTCTGAGCAACCTGATCTGGTGACATTGTCCCTGCTCACTGCAGGGGTTGGACTGGATGAGCTTTAAAGGCCCCTTCCAACCCAGCACATTCTGTGATTCTATGATCAGCTGTTAAATGCCAAGCAAATCGGGCAGAAACATTAAACCATCTCACACCAAAGTGGAAGAACTTGTTCTGAAATCCAGCTTTCCACTTTGTTTTTCCACAAATCTGACAATCCAGTTTTACCTTGGACTTTTACATAGCAAAGGCACATGAAGGGCAGTGGTAGGAGGCAGGAAAGGAAGAGTTTCTTCAACCCATCTGAATCAAAGCAATTCTGTCCCCACCTCCATGCTTGTGTGTCTGAGGCAGGTACCTCAGGAGCCTGCTTCTGCTGCAGTGCTCCTGTCCAGACAGCGGGCAGGGAAACGTGTGTCCACAAACTCTATGATCAGCCCTGCGAGAGAGCTCCAGGACCTGCTCCACAGTTAGAATCTCTTGGTGACACAGGAGAGCAGTGGGGAGCTCAGATTTATAGTATTCTTTTTCCCCCCTGGATGATTTAAGCCCGATCTGTCTTAATTCCCTGTGTTCTTTCATTTCAGGGCGTACGGCGTGGTATCGATGTGCATTGGAACTGGCATGGGCGCTGCAGCAGTGTTTGAGTACCCAGGGAACTAAACCCCACTGTGCTGACAAAACGACACAACAGCTAATTCTCTGCCTTCCCTTGTAATAGCGAATGATTGGCACTGTGAAATCAAGTGGGTTCAGGGATTCGTTACTAGATTTACAAATCTGCGGCACAAATTGCGAGGTAGAATAAATCACACAGATCTGCTGAGCAGGTGGGGAAATGCAGAACTGGCAGATGGCATGAGAAGAGAAGACAGTGCAGCTCAGGTTCAACTACGGGCCTTTGTGTGGTGATGGTGAATGAGTATTTCTGAGTTAATTGATCCCTGTATTCTGTGAATATCATCAGAGAGAAGTAGTTCATGGCACAGTAGCTGTGCTGTAGCTTTCTGCTTTTAACCAGGCTGCGCTGAAGCCTCCAGCGGGGAAAGTGGAAGGAGGAGGAATTGATTTATTTGTGAGCAAACAAACTTGAGGTGCCCGAACAGAACGGTTCTGCTGAATTGCCCGAAGCCAGGAATTTGGAAGTGACCATTTTACAACACGGTTTTAGTTATCAGCTCCTATGACTCTAACGTAGAAGACAAGATTATGCTTAATAATATTGACTTACCTAACATAAACCAGATTTCAGCATTAATCCTCCTGCAAGCACTACGTGAACAGTGGAAATCAGTGAAAGCTCAGTACTGCAGTGCTAACACAAATGAGTTTTTAATCTTGTAACGCTCTCCCTTATCTCCTCTCTCTCTTATGAGCAGAAAGATCACTGAAACTCGGAGCTAATGGCTTGGAAAAGAAACATACTCATCATCCTTGATGTGTTAGAGAGGTTTAAATTTGTAACATGGACTGAATCCTTTGTCCTGGCTCTTGTTTTTTGCACTTAATAATACAATTGGGTTCTTGCAATATATTTGTTTTCTTTTTATGATGACTGTAGTGGAAGGCCTTGATTAACTGGAGCTGTGTGATATTCTCAGCCTGTCCAGCTCACCCAGCAATCACATGTGCTGTATCTTACAGCAGAAAGATGAAGTTATTTAGGGGGGGCAGAGAGGTGTTTGCATCTTCAAGGGTCCTTTTTCCGCAGGTTCCCTTGTATAAAATGAGTCTCATTTCCAGTTCAAGTCAGTTTTAAACTGGGCAGAAGGCAGTCATTGTGCACCTTTTGTTCTCCTCCAGCGTGGATTGCAGCCCCCTCTTCCCCACACACAACTGCCTTTAACAAAAACCTTTATATATGATGGGAGTGGAAAACTGAACGGGCTCAGAAGTGGGAATTTTGGTGACCTTTAGCTAAAGTAATACTAAAAACATTTAGAGAAGTGTGAGTAAATGGGAACCATGTGGGGGGAAAGAATGAAAAGGAAGGAGGGCTCCTCCCTCTGTAGCTGAAGGGACGTTCTCAGTACCCAGCATGATGAAACAGGTTGGTCATTTTCCAGTAGTCCAGGGAAAGTTGGATCTTCCCCTTTTCATGTAAGGCACTGAGAAAACAGCCTGGGGAATGCTGGCCTGTTCAGCACCAGCTCTTGCTTTTATGATGTGTCAGTGGCTGTTCTAATGTCAAACAAATAAGGCAAAACAGACGCTGCTTTTTAAGGTAGGAATGGTCTTTAATTGTGAGTTGAGGCAGAGTGTGATATGCAAAGGGGTTTGGCCCCGCTGTTACCATAGCTGCTTTGCAGTTCAACCAGATTACTTTGCAGAGCCTGGTGCTGTGGGTAGCAGTAAGTTTATCACAGCAAGAGAAGTCATAGCACAGAATGAGATGATGACTGCTTGCCTTAAGGTACCATGAGCTTTTTTTCCTCCTAACTTAAAATTTCACTCTGTGCAATCCTGGCCTATTAAAACAACTGAAGTAAATGAAAATACAGACACAACTGCTGGCACAGCTGCACCCCCCCTCATTGCCTTGACATTTGTCCCACATTGTTTTGCTTAAATGAAATACAGGTCTTCATACTTTTCATCGTATGTTCCGCGTCCCCTGATCTGTATCTTGCAAGACTTCTCTCCGAGCATCCCCGTAACCGTCACGATGGTTTCATATTCAATGTCATTCCTAAAATGCAGAGGGAAAAGGCAGTTCAGTTACAGCTCGGTGCCAGCCTGTGTTTCAGGCTGAGATTGGAGGAAGAGGAGAAAGGTGCCCTAAGACCCAAACTGCTCCCAGGTACAAGCGCTGGTCTCTGACATTAAGTGTTGAGTCTGCGGGTGGCAATGTCACTTCGTGGCATCACATCCCTTGGCTACACAGAGAAAAAGAATGGTCCAGTCTGTACCTGAATAAAGACACTGGATTATTAACTTAGTGTTTGAAAGGAGAACTTGAGTGTCTTCCTACTTGTGAAATTCGATTTTAGTTAAACAATAAAACACAGCTCTGCTGAGGTCTCGATTTGGGAGCAGATGCCTGCAGAGCCTTCATGTTATTTTAGTTAAACAATAAAACACAGCTCTTCTGAGGTCTCGGTTTGGGAGCAGATGCCTGCAGAGCCTTCATGTGAAAACTCATCCCTGTGACAGAGTTTGAAACCCAAGAAGTTTCTGTCAGCTCCCCTCAGACACGGGGCAATCGATGGAGTCTGGGTTGTAAAGGAGCATCAAAAGCTGACAGCAGGTGTAGTTCTGCACCAGGGGAAGTCTCGCAGCATAACTCGCCTCGGGCTGACGCTGCCCAGTGCTCCCGAGACTGCATCTGAAGGACGTCTCTGCGGTGGCTGTTGTCAACGCCCGAGGCAAGAGCCTGTTCTGCCAGACAACTTTTATTTTTCCCTTCTCATACAAAATTCCCCTGCAGGAAGACCACTGCTTTTGGGAGGTGAATTATTAAAAGAACCCTCCCACCTTGCACATAACTATTTACTAATGCCACACTGGTCCTGAGCTCTGCTGCACTGGGAATTCGGTGGTGAACAGATGAGCTGCCTGCCATGCAGCAACATCCTCGCTTTCTGGTACTTCCAGGCACGCTGCTTAGTGGCTCTGCTGTCAGACAAGAAGAAACCCTCCAGGTATATTTGGATTACTTCAGGAAAACGCTGGCTGTCAGGAGCCTGGGGAGGTCTCTGGTCCCACCGCACTGCTCAGAGCGGGGACAGCTTAGCCCAGCTGTCCAAGGCCTCGTCCCACTGAGATCCCAGTGGCTCCAGTGATGGAGATCCCGCAGCGTGTTACAGAGATTGAAATCACAGCAGTAACTCAGCACCTGTCGTTTGCTTCTTGAAAACTTCCCTGACAGCAGTGTTCAGAATTCACTGAAATCTCTGGCACAGATTTGTCTTAAACTTTCTGCCACCACATCATAACTTCCAAGAAAATAGCTTGTCATAGAAGCTGAATTTACACCTCCCTCATTAAAGCAAAGAAATGAAAGGCTTTGGGTCACAACCTCTGCCTTGACAAAGGTTATGCTGTGATGTCCATAAACACAATGAGAACAATATCAGATGTTGTTTGGACAAAGTCAGTCATTTTCACCTGCTCTTTTCTGTTCTTTGCTGTCATTTGCCTGCAGCTCCCATCATCTGTGTTGTGTAGAAAAACCTTTGGACTAGAAGCAACAAAAAGACATCGCTTTGTTTTTTTTCCTTTCTCAAACAGGAACCTGATTAGCACTAAACACTGCACCAGGCTAAGCAAGGGTGAAACAAATGTATCGCTGCATTAGAACAACATTGTTCTCTATTATTTGCTTCATCAGGAGGTTCCCTGAACACATGCAGGGAAATAAAAGACTTCAAAAAGTTACTTTAGGGAGAAGCCACATAAACGATAATGAAGGATCCCTGAGCCCAACTGGAAAAGACATTGCCCTTTTCCTGCATGGCAAACAGATGCCTTAGGGGAATTCTGAACTCCAGGCACATTTGTCCCTCTGTCCCAGTGAAGTGCTGGGTGCATGAAGGACTCAGCGGTTGTATCAGCCTCTGCACCGAGTCACGGGCCTGAGATTTGCCCTCTGTTGAAGACATCACTCTACAGAAAGGGATTTTATCTGGTGGCCCATAGTCAGTGTGGCACGCCAGCTGCTGGAAGAGCATGGTTTCAAGTGGGTAAATCTAAAGTCTGAAATTCTAGGTGTCAAATCCAAAAGAAATCCCATACGTGGGAGCAGTGCAGGGAACACGGTTATATGGAAAAAGTACCAGCTGGAAGCCCAAGATCAGCAATGTTGGAAGCAAAATGAGCAGCCTGAGAAGCAAGAACAGAGCAGAATTGCTCTTTGCTCTCAATGACTGCGCACACCACAGGTCTGGGCTTGACAGGGAGGAACAGCCAGATTTCAGTCCCGTTAACGGTACCGTGGAGTGAAGCTGATCTCCAAAACCGCTTTGGTAGGTGAGTCCCCTTCGCGTGCCTCCAAAACGCCGTGAGTAGGGGAGACGGAAAATACTTCCAGGTCGTTGTGCCTTCTCCGCTCATCTGCAGAGAAAGAGACAAACATCAAAGCAATGCAAGACCCTTGGGGTAAGTTTGTACAGCGTGTGGCGCTCCAAACTACGCATCTCCTTGCCAGCCAACTAATAAATCATGGCTCGTGCTGCTGAAGGCTTTCAGTGCACGTGGCCAGTTCCTGTTTTCATCCTCTAATCAAGGGGAGTGATCAATGGCTTCCACATCGAAATAATAAGGCCTTGATCTGCTTTCCTTTGAAGCCCATCTGCTGGTAACGTCATTAGGCACCGGCTCAAACCAAACTCAGGAGGAGCTGCTGCTGCTTGTTGCCTCATAGGATTGTATTATAAATGAGCACAGCGCATCCACTACCTGTGATTCAATCTTTTGGTTAAATCTGGAGTAAGGGCTGAAATCAGCAGAGACAGACTGATGTCAAATTAAAAACTAAAATTTAAAATAGTTTTTATGAGTGAGAACAGAAGCAGGCCTGCTCTGTCTGCAGTCAGCACCATCATATATTTGCTATGTATGGAGTGCATGCAGTCTTACTAAACAAAAACACTGAGTAGTGAAACTGTATAACAAGGAAATCCAACTGCAAAACCAGAATACCCAGCAGAGCAGTCCAGTAACTCCTACAGCCACTCCTGTTATACAGGAAGACACGTTCTGTCTTGGTCTGTGCAACAAAGCAGGTCTTGAAATCCACCGTGTCGCAAGAGAGCTCCAGAACAGGAACAGTGAGGTAGGCAGTCACTGGGACCAGCTGCAAAACAGAGGAAAGGGAAAGGAGAAGAAAACCCAGACTATTTTTGAGGAGCTTTAATAAACTCACCTTAATTTTGTAGAGTTTTAATGATATCTGCTACAGCTGGATCATTCTTAAACTCAAGCACTGAATCGGGAGTAGTTGTTGTGTGCTCTTTCATAATAAAGTCAATTCCCCGTTCTACTGTTTTGGGATAGGTTTGCAAACCAGACACTGTGGTCTTAATGAAGTAACACAGAGTGAACGTTCTGATTTGTTATGAGGGTTTTCTGTGGAGATGCAGACATTACAGCATCTCGCCGTCCCTTAGGACTGTATATGGCCCACTGTGAGTCATTCAATTTGTGCAGATTGCCCAATATTAGTATTAAATTGACTGTATCTTAGATATGGTGCTCGGATCTTAGGCAGAGCAGTCCTCAGCAATACTTGGTGTGAGAAAAAGTAATGCCTGCAGTGTGCTGGAACTGCTGAAGAGTTGGGGGTTACAGCTCTCCACCTGGGGGGGGGTCGGTCTTTAAACGTGTGCGGGCTGTGACCACACCACACCACACCAGTCAGACTCGGGTACTGCAGCTTCGCTCTGAGTCAGAGATGCTGGTAACACACAGCCCGGAGGTCTCGTTCTGCTCTCACCTGGGTACTGCGGTTGCTGTGCTCAATGGTCAGATTTTGACTAAACTTCAGCTTTCTCTCTCCGTTCTCCAGCTGGAGCACTTGGAAGCCAGGAAGCAGCTGGGTATCTGGCAAATGCTGATATGTGAGTAACTCCAGGGTTGTGTGGAATGACACTTTCACCTGTGGGAAGAGGAATTCAGACAACCGTCACATAAGAAGACCCCGTGTGCAGGAAATCCAAAGTAAACGTTGCTCCAAGGCCCGGGTGCACATTTTCCCACTGGAACCCAAAGGTGTCAATGCCAGCAACTGAATTCCCACTGGAACAAAGCTTTATAATTAATGAAAAAGCACAGCTATTTCCTATGAATCCAGCGATGGAGGGTAAAGGTGAACCCCTGATCTCTGAGCCACAGGGGAGAAACAGTCTCTAGCAAGGCAAAGGTTCTAAATTTTGGAGGTTACTAATACCGTATTCCCAAAGCTGCCTTAAACATACGTCTTCTTTCTTCCTTCACACGCAGAATTAAGACAAATGTGTCTCAATGTCAAAATGAACACTGAAAAATGAGAGGCACGCTTCAAACACGCAGCTGTTGCTCATTCTTTGCACCCCAGCTAACTCTTGACACCAGGGCTTTGTTTCCTTTAGTGTCATTGTGTCCACCCAAAACAAACCAATCTTTTCTCTGTTTGCACTGCCTGCATCTGATTTAAGGACACAAGGGACTGCAGTCTTTGGAAACCTCTTAATTTGTCCAGCATATACATAGCTGTTGAGTTAGGAGAGCTCACAGCACTACAGAATGGTTGGGGTTGGAAGGGATCTCTGGAGACCATCAACTCCAAAATCACAGGGTTTTCTGCAGAGGTTTGCAACGGATCAGAGCTGATGAGAGAACCACACCAGGGCCACTGCAGGAGAATATTTTGTACCTGCAATACAGCAGGCAAAATTGCAGTAACAGCACTTGCTAATACACCACTATTTCCCTTGAAATCGGGAGGTTTTTATACTGGTTGTGTTTTTCTGGTGGTTCATCTGGATCATGCCAGCACACCAATTACTAAACTATCTATTTTGGCACAGGATTATTATTTTTGAACCTACCAGCATGTTTTGCTGCGGATAAAGTACATGTTGTGGTTGCTGTTCTTCCTCCTTCTTGCTGTGGGATGTTTTGGAGCTCTTTTTGGAATCGGTGGTGGACAGGCTGAAGGGCGCAGACAGAAGGAGCCTGAAGTACAGAGGAATCTTAGTGCGATTGATGAGTTTCAAACTCTGAGTCATTACCGAATCTGTCAAAACCTGGTGAAGAAATGATTCCAAACTGGTTATTTCAGGCTCCCTTGAGAGGTTTGTGCTGCTCTGTGGTCATTCAGCACCACCAGGGATCTGCAGACTTTACCCAAAAGCAGCCCAGTATTTTCTACTTATGTTTTTTTTTCAAAATTTATTGAGTAAAAAAGCCAAAATACAAATAATGGAATAAAATCTTTGAATGTCAAGGGTCACAGCAATGGACCATGCTGCTCCAAGTGACTCATTCTGCTCTCAGACCTTTATGTCCTGAAAATAAATACTTATTTTTATACTTGCAAACTCCTTTATTCCTCTACGAATGCCAATAAAACAGGCATTGTCTGAGCTCAGCTGAGCTTATTCCTGCATTATATAGATATGTTTTACCTCTCTCGTTATGTGCAATGTGGACAATTGCAACATGAAGCTACTGGTGACAAAGACGCATTTAAAAAACCACATGCACACAGCTCTGAATTCTCACAGCAGCACAAACCAGCTGAACACATCGGTGAGTGAAATACTTACTCCCACCAGCGGCGGATCCGGTACGAGATCACTCGCCATCGAATAAAACACCATTTCCCCGTCGTGATCCGTGCTTATTTCTAACCTGGGTGTGAAGAAGCAGAGCCTGTCAGAGCCCTGCCCGCTGATGCCCCGTGTGAGCATCCCAGCCCTCTGGGTACTTACAGAGCCAGCCTTGTGAAAGCTTCCAAGTCTATTCGAAACGGTGGAGCGTCGTAGCCGTGGCTGCGATGCACTTTGTTAGGCACCGTCTTTGCAAGCTGATGACAAAATGAAACCAGAAATGATGTACAAAATACACTGTTTCACTATTCACCAGAACCTGAAACTCTGCTTATAGTGCTAGAGGCTGTTAGCCAAAACAGGATTCTGCTTGTGTTGCCTGTTTGTAAGCCATGGTGGCAACATGCAAGGAACAGCAACAGCTGAACTCTGCATTAATAAACGTGGTTAATAAAGACACAGAAATGTCTCCCTCCAGTAATCAAGAACATTAGGGATGTTTTTGTTAAATATTCTGTTATCATTCATTCATGACACCTTGCACATTTGCAACGATTCATGTCAGAGAATCACAGAGCAATTCATAAAACACCGTTCAAGCCTCACGTTTGCCTGTGAGCTGTGCCTGCAGTTGCTGAAGAGGAAGTTTCCCAGAGGAGAGCCACACTGAACAAATTCACACAGGAAGGAGGATGCAGAGCCAGGAACAGGACTCAGCAGTCCCGAGTCTCAGCCCCATTGTTAATTATTGTTATCAATAAAACCTGATGTTGTGACAGCATTTCAAACCTTGGGTTTTTGTCTGGGGTCTACTGCACCAGACAATGTCAGAAGACGGGGACGTTCCCACCCGTGAGTGCTTCCAAGCTAAAACACAAACGCAGCAAACGAACAAGGTCAAGGAAGGATATGCAGGGTAGCAGGAACGGGACTGTTTATACAGACTGGCCAGGTACACAGCAGCCTGTACATAAATTACAGGAAGCAGAACGATTATTTTCGAGCCTTGCTGTGATAGCGAGCTTACCTTGTCGTCCAGGCTCATGAAACCCAGCGCAAACCCTTCGCACTGCACTTCGGGCACGGCCTCAGGCAGGACCCGTGGGGTGAAGGCGATGCAAACGGAGCTGCTGCCCCCTCCTGGGACCACCTGCAGCGAGAGACAATTTGGGCAGAGCAGGGGATGCCGGGGATTGCACAAGCAGCCTCCGCGCTCAGCTGAGGACACAAGCAGCACGAAATCTGCAGGGAAGGGCCATGCTCAGGCTTGCACCAAAACGACAACGTGCGACAGCAAAACTGACTTCATTATTTCAGCTGCAAATGTCAGAGGAGCCACTGTTGAACATCAACGGAGTTTAAGCACAGTCACAGACCAGCTCTCCAAGCCCACAAACACACGTACGTGCCTGTTTGTTTTTCGAAGTAGCCAGTTCTGCCCACCCCTACTCCATGGCTCACTCAGATGATTCTCCCACGACTGACAGCTCTCAAAGATATAATAGATGTTTTTTACAAGTGTGAGTTAAGAGCATTTTACAGTTCAGTTTGGCTATTTTCTTATTTTACCTGACAGCAGGGAATGTAACCAAATGCACTAGCCAGCTACAGTGGATTTTCTGGGATTTACAGGTTGAATAGATCCTGCTTTCTTTAGGTGCATTATGCACGTTGTGGTTAAATCCTGCTATTGCGGCAGAAACAGATGCAGGTTATGATTAAATCCTGCTATTGCTGCAGAAAAACCTTTCCTATCTCTCCACAGAGCCAGTTCTCATCTAGCAGAGTTTGTGAGCTCGGGGGCCATCTGGCACGTACCGCTGTGCAGACATGAACTTCTTGTTTCATGTGGTCACAGGGTGGGAAGTTTGGTCTTGCTGGACCTGTGTTCAGGAGGAGCAAAACCAGCTCAGCTCTCCTTGCACTGCATTCCCGTGCTCAGAGTGGTGAGGAGCATAAGAAATGTTCAGAATAAGAATACGAAATAAGCATAAGAAATTTGTTCAGCCTGGAGAAGAGAAGGCTCTGGATGGGGCTTATAGCAACCTTCCAATACCTGAAAGGTGCCTATAAGAAATCTGGGGAAGGGTTCACTAGGGCATGGAGTGATAGGATGAGGGGTAATGGTTTTAAACTAGAAAAGAGTAGATTTAGGTTGGATATTAAGAAAAAGTTCTTCACCATGAGGGTGATCGATCACTGGCACAGGTTGCCCAGAGAGGTGGTGCAGGCCCCATCCCTGGAGATATTCAAGGCCAGGCTTGATGGGGCTCTGAGCAACCTGATCTGGTGACATTGTCCCTGCTCACTGCAGGGGTTGGACTGGATGAGCTTTAAAGGCCCCTTCCAACCCACTGTATTCTGATTGTAAAGCTCTGCCTAGGGTCTAGCAGGGCCAGAGCAGAGGCAGTAACCTCTCTGTCACATCCTACAATTCTAACAAGGTCTGTGCATTGTGGTCATACAGACTTGAGCTGTTCAGACACACCTGAGCTAACAGACCTTCCTGGAGCAATGATAGAAACATGGAGACCATTTCTGCAGAGGGTTACCTGAGTAACTGCACAAGCATCAACTCCATTCCACAAGGGCCAAGCTCACTGCTGGCTACACCCCATAGAAGCTGCCTCCACAGTGAAGCACTTGTTTATCTCAACTATCTCAGTCTCAATCACCCCAGAGCTGACTGGAGGCTTAATTTCTCTGAGATGCCACTTCTGTAATTATTTCTTTTACGTAAGCTTTAGCTCATTCTAACTTGTAACAGAAACTCTTTGGCAAAGAAAATGTTGCTAATACTTAGGAATCAAAATTGACGCACTGATGTTTTGGGCAACCCTGTCACTCACAGTTAGATCCTTCCAGTGCTCTTTGCTTCATCTTCTTCCTAAGGAATTGTGACACTGTGGCCCGTATATGCACCGGTTACTTTTGAAGAACTGTGGGTTGCAATCCTTTATCTGAAGGAGTTGCCTACAGAGCACCCCTCTCCCAGCACCCTGCTTTCCAGCTCTGCCACATCTACTTAGCAAACCTGCCCTGGGCTAAGTAGCACGCTCCCAAAGCTTCAGACTGGATGCCTCCCACCTGATGCCACACATTTCACTGTAGCAACCTAAACTGCCCCTCTAGAGAGTGTAGTACAACTAACACCTAACTGCAGTCATCAGTTAATTGCTCAACGGTAGGTGGGACGCTTTGTTTCTGCTGTTGACTTTGCAAACTCCTCTCATGGTCATCTTCAAGATCCCAAAGCCTCCCAGCCCACTGTTGCACTGGTTGGTAGCCTCTACCCCAAACCAAAGCTACCTCCTCCTCCTCCTCCTCCTCTGTCTGCTCTGTCCTGTAGGATAGATGCTGAAACTAAACACAAAGAAAATGTAAAAGCTTACTATCTGTCTTGGAGCAACGGAGAAGGGGTTGTCTGCAGGAACCCCTTCATGAGGTCGTATGACTACAGAGATTATTTTCTGCACTGGAGGATCTTGAGTGATGATTTCCTTCTCTTTGCTGTCAGAGTCTGGAGACTGCAGGGACACAAGGGCGGGGAATGGTTAAAACTGTTACGCTGCAGAGGAGGAACGCGAGTGGAGTGAAGCATAGAGGGTCCTCCTGCACTACTCAGCAAGTGTGGCCAGCTCCAGCTTCTTTCTGGCACAAAAGCTGGACATGTGCATGTGTCCTGTACATTAATTTATTGATGCATAGGTTTGCTGTCCTGAAACTGCTGCTGAAC